TGTGGTGCTAATATGTATTGATTGGAAGTAATGTGGGGTTTTAGACCCTTGTCAGCAGCAGTTTCCTGCTTGCATTGACTTTCTGAAGTGACGGGGGCACTTTCCTGTCCTGGTGCATCTATCGTACGGTGTCTTTCCCTGTAGTAACTGGAAAGTGTGGCACCTCAGGCTTGAGGTGTGGCCCTGTTCATGCTGCGTCCCACTTCCAGCTCCCAAGACTTCTTCCGTGCTGAGCAGGTGAAGTCACTTTGTAAAGAACTGCTCTCCGACCTTAACTGAAGTGAGCTTCAGTTCAGGACGGAGAGAGAGAGAGAGAGAGAGAGAGAGAGAGAGAGAGAGAGTGTGTGTGTGTGTGTGTGTGTGTTGTCAGACGTTCAAATGGTATTGGTTATACATTCACTGATGGTGAGGACTTGAAGTCGTTGTGGACTTAGGAATTTTAAACTTCACGCAGTGGCCTGAGTACAGGCGTCCCTCCCGTTTGATTGTCTGCTGTTGGATTTGCAGTCCGAGCACCCTTTTCCTTGGGATCTCTGTTCCTTTGATGGCGTTGAACTTCCTCATTAGCCTCAGAGTTCTTCCTTGCTTGTTGGCACAGCACGGCTGCCCGGGCTCGCCTTGGGTTTTCTTCCTGTCGAGTTGATGGCAGCAGCAATTAGCACCATCACCAAAGTCCTTGGCACGTGTGCAGTCCCCATTTGTGCCTTACGGGCTGAGTCCTGCTGATAGCCGGAAGGACAGGTGCTTTTCTTTCCACTGTCAAGGGGGAAGGGGCTGTGCTTACTTCCCGAGAGCTGAGGCGTGCTGTGGCACAGGCTGCCCGTGGCCCGGGCCCTCAGCCATCAGACCTCCCAGGCTATCCCATGGCCTTCTCCCCCGCTTCCCATCTTTAGCACCAAGGATAGCTCTTAAAGTGTCTCTTGAAAATGCTCCCTTCTTAGCTTCTACCACCACCTTCCTTCAGGGCCTGTTTCTGCTTCTAGACTGGGTCTCTGCCCCCACCATGGATCTTGTTGCCAAGAGGGTCTCGTATTAAAAAAAATAATAATAAGGAAGGAAGGCAGACAGACAAGAAAGGTGGCTGTCCCTTTTGGTGCAAGGCAGAGCTGGTCTCCAGCATGACAAGCTGGCTCTCCCCCTTCCCTTGCGCCTGACCTGCCCCTGTCTTCCCCCAGAGCTCACACTGAAGGCTAGAACACGTCATGCTCCCGACCTTCTCGGCACGTGCGCCTTGGCCTCCTCTGCGCGCCTGTGTCGTCACCCCGAAGCGCTTCTCCCACTCAGACTGGCCTGCTGTGGGAGTGCCTGTGTGGATTTCTCCATGCGCAGTGGTTCGGGGTCCCCCTCCTGGAGAGCCCCAGCTGATCCCAGTGCAGGTGTGACACACCAGTTTCTGGTTGTCACTGCCAGAGCTGTTCCTGGCATCTTGTGGCACAGCTCTGCTCACCTGCACTGTCCCTGGTCCTCATCGTCCTACTCATGGAATGTCACACTTAACTGGGCCTTCAGTGCTGAGAGCTGTGCACTCTGGGCCCCCCATCGAGTCACTTCAGTGGATGACGGGACACAGGCCTGCAGTGCCCTGGGAGCTCCAGATGTGTGTGTGTCTTCTACTGATGAGACATGAAGCCACCAGGGATAAATACCAGACAGTGCCATAGCTGTGCGACTGGCAGCTGTGGGAAAGACTGACCTCGTGGCCCTGGCCAGCGCTGCATTCCCAGCAGTCTGCTTGCATTGTGGGAAGAAATGCAGACGAAGTTAAGTACAAGCCTGTTGGGTGTTTGAATCCCAGGCCTGGTCTGTGTCAAAGTGAGGTTGCTTGAGGACGCAGTGAGAAAAAGTCATCATCTGGAGCGTGACCTTAGGGTGTTAGAGCAGCCACGGCCCATCGGGTGTGGATTCCTGTGGGAGGCCCAGTGGAAGCCCACCCCTGACCCTTGGAGATAAAGTCCTCCCTCCAGCCACCTTCAACCTGCTTGGACCATGGGCCCCTTTGGAAGGTCTGCGCGTGGGTGCCCAGGATTTCCCACCCAGCTTTGCATTCTGCCAGGGAGGACCTGCTGAAAGGGGTTGGCAAGCTCTCAGAAGTCCTGTGTCTACTGTATGCTCAGCTGGAGATGTATGTTCTGTCACACACTGCCATGCACATCTGTGAATTCCAGCCTTAGTAAGTGTAACAACACTGTCTTCTGTCCAAGTTCATTTGTGTTTTGTTTTTGGAAAGGTCACACTCATGGATCCTGCCGACAGATGGGCCAGGCTTGATACCTTAGGGTCAGTCTCAATATTGATGTGTCCCACGATTGGACCAAGTCCTCTGTATGCTCCTTATGTGTTCAGTAAGAACAAATTGGAATCGGGCTAATTGCTCCCCTTGGGCAGATATTGAGGAAAATGACAACGTGATTTCTGGCAGAGTGAAAGTGCCGAGGTCTGACTCGCATTATTCCTCGAGATTGTAGAACATGGCCGTGTTAGCCGATGTGCTCACATGTGCCCCCAGCACAGAGCTGTGAAACCTCAGGGGAGCGTGTCTCCGCTGAGTGAGGAGGGTCGCTGAAGGGGTATGCCGTCTTACGCACGGTGGGGGTCTCATGCTTTCTCCACCTCATGGCTGTGGGTGGAGACTGAGCATTGCCGTGGGGGTCTCATGCTTTCTGGGAGTGGCTGTGGGTGGAGACTGATGGCTTTCCCTGCCAGACAGGTGGAGGTGGAGGTGGAGGTCGCAGGCGCATGAGTTTGCCTCCAGGACTTGTCACTTCATATAGTCAGCTGGCTCCCACTGTCCTGCAAACACTGCCCCTTTCCTGAGAAGCTGAAGCTCTTCTAGAACATCTTGCTGGCTGTTGGACAGGAAGTCTCCAGATTTCCAGGTTCCGGGGGCGGGGGGTTACCTATGGCCATGGTCTCACGGGTCCATCCTGTCCTTGTCGACACAGTGTGTCGTTGAGCTCAGCGATCTTCGTTCTTAGCGTTTGCTTCACAATGTCCCGTGAACTCGGGCTTGTCCCAGGCCTTCGTTCACAAGGAGCTAACTGATGTGTTCACTCTTCGCTGCCAGCTCCTCTGGAAGACGTGTCGTGGGCTTTGCTCACACCTGTCTGGAGACGCACTGAAGCAGTCGGGTTTCGTATCTGCGTGAGCTAAGGGCTCAGGCTGCTCCCGCCGCCAGCCGGCTGGGCCTGCTTGTTCTGCGTTACACCAGCCTGGGCACTTGCTTGTTTTCCTACTCCTTTGAAATCATGTGGATTTCAACGGGGAGCCTCTTGGATTTTCTGTTTCCTCAAAATGTGCTTGTTTGTCCAAAATAAAGCTTTTATTCCTCCCTCCCTCAAAGAAAATTAATTGGGGGGGGGGGAGGGATACATGCCTGCCTAGGATAATTCAAGCAATGAAATGAATTACACTGGGGCTGGAAAACCTCAGGGTACCTGTTTTGTTAACAGTTCTTCCAGATTATCTCCTTGTTTCTACTTCATGGTGATGGCGTCAGTGCAGTCCAGTGCTGGGGTGGGGTCCTTCTGGGGAGGGTAAAAGTTGAACTTTCTTTTTATGATGTATTTATTGGAAAAGCACAGTTAGAGATTGCACCCACTGGTTCACTCCCCAAATGGCCCCAATGGCCAGAGCTGAGCTGATCAGAAGCCAGGAGCTAGGAGCTTCTTCTGGGTGCTCGGTGTCGGTGCATGCAGAGGCCCAAGGACCTGAACCATCCTCCACTGCTGTCCAAGTTTATTAGTACGAGCACGAGGGGAAGTGGAGCATCCAGGACTTGAACTAGTGCCCCTAGATAGGCACAGGCCCAAGCTGCCGTGCGGTGGTGCTGACCCCAGTTAGGTGTTTATGTGTCTCCAGTGTCCGTTTGCTCCCAGCACTTGGCAGCTCTGCGGGGAAGTGGAGTTCTGAGCGGGCAGCTGATGGCTGGACTGACTGCATGTGGCTGGGTCTTTTCTCTGCTGCATGGCCTGGCCTCTGGCCTTCCTGCTGGGCAGCACGACAGGGACTTTAGAAGATACTGCCGTTTGGGTCATGTCCCGGGAGATGTTGATTCCTTGCCAGAGCAGTGAGACTTGGGTTCCCAAGTGCGTGCCTGCTTGCCGTGGGTCTGAAGCTTGTGAGTGTTCCCGGGTGCAGCTGGGATAGCCTTCGGCAGGCTGCAGAGCAGCTGCTGTGCTCAGCCTGGGAATGAAGCCTGTTCCACTTGGCAGGTACCCTGGTTTGCCCAGGGCCTGAGAGGTTTTCAGCGCAGGAATCAGTGTCCAACTCAGAGGATTGCATTGGTGAGATTCGTCTAAGTGGTCGCCTTGCCGGGGGCTCACTGTGTGCTCATGCTGGCCTGCCTAGGCATTTGGGGTTTTGTGGAAACGTTTTTACAGTGGATCCTTTGGCAGGAAATGTTCTAACTGAAGATCTGTGGGGGCTTGCCCATGGCACTGTTTCCTAAGCTTGCTGTTTGGTTTTCAAAATATGAAACCAGATGGGATTTCCTCACCTCCGGAATCCCAGTTTGTATCCTAGTTTGCGCAGCTTCACCTGTGGAGTGAAGCCAGACCATAAAGGCAGGCGGCCCTGCGGCTGACACAGGCGTCTCACGTTCCACTGAGCAGGCTGGGTTTGTATTCTCAGTGAGAAACAGCACTGGATTTGGGTGTGTTTTTCCTCATTTTCGTTTTTCGCTTGTGGCAGCTGCGGAGGGGAGGTTCTGATGGACCCGTTCACTCGCACGTATTTCACTTCACTGTGCGAGCAGCAGGTGGCTTCATGTGTGCAAGAGCCCGACACCAGACACAGAATCTTGGTAAAACTTCTGAAAACTTGTTAATTTAATTCTTTTTTAAATCAGAAAAAAGAGGAGACACGCAGGCTGAGAGGCTCTTGGTCCGCTGGTTCTCTCTGCAATGTTCCCAGTGGCGGGGGCTGTGGCAGGCCGAAGCCAGGGGCCCTGTAGGGGCAGGGCCCAGGACTTGAGTCGCCTGCTGCTGCTGCTTTCGCACGTGCGTTGGCAGGGAGTTGGATCAGAAATGAAGAGCTGGGGCTAGAACTCACACTGTCGGGGATGCCGGCATCACGGGCTGAGGTCAGTCAGCTACTTCACAGCCCTGGCCCCAGTAAACTTCTTAACTGCCTTGATCTTTAAAAGAGAGTAATAATAATTGGGTAAACCATGGAGTGGGGCTGGAAATGCTGGCTGTGCTAACACGAATCCGCAGCTTTATCCTCTGTTCCTGGTTAGATTGTGAGACTCACCATTTCACCTTTTGCAGAACTTGGCCACGGACAACTTCCACCAACTTGTTTTATGACAGGTGGACTGATGAAGTAATAGAGAAATCTCCCTTTGTTGAAGGTATTCCAGAACGTGAGGGTGGTCTTGTGGTGTGCCAGGCTCTTTGAGCCTGGTTGGACACAGTCGAGTGGCAACTTTGTGCAGGGCACCGCGTCACAGGGACCGCGGCTGCATGGATCTGATCCCTCACCCTCATCTGCCTGTATGTGTCCTGGCGCACCCATGTCTGTTGGCCCTCTGCTCATTGATGTTCTTGGGTTTGCAAGGAATAAACTGAATTTCCAAGTACTGTGAATGTGACATGACTTTAAAAACCTGTTGGTATTTGCTGCTCAATTGCCCCCTAGAATTCTCCAGCTTTAGGCCTAAATATAACTGGAAAGTAACTTCTGTGGATGTTAAGATTTGTAATTCACTGTTTTATATGTGAGTATCCAGTATTCTAGAGCCCTTTTCTGAAAAAATAAGATTGACTCACTCAGAAGACAAAGTGATGAGAGAGAGAAAATGTGCACGTGAGAGCGGGTATTTTTCTGTCCATTGGTCCTCCGGCCCAGTCCCAGGACCCACAGCTGTCAGGGCGGGGCCAGGCCAGAGCCAAGGGCGACAGCTCCCCCGGGTCTCCCAGATGAGTGGTAGGGACCCAAGTGTTTGTGTCTTCCAGCAACTGTTGTTTCCCAGGTGCATTAATTTAGGCAGGCAGCTGGATTAGAAGCAAAGCAGCCAGGACTTGAACTTGCACCTTGGTGTGGGGAGCTGGTATTCCAGGCTATGGAGGGGCCTCCATGCTGCCCACCGCAGCTCTGAGGGAGGAGAGCAAAGGGAGCTGCTGTGGTCTTGAGCTCTGCACACACTTCCAGGATGGACATGGGTACATCGTCTCTTTGCCCTTATTTATTACCTCTTGTCATTGTATTTCAGAGGCAGAGAGACCTTCCATCACTTGCTCACTGCCTCATGTGTCAGCACGTCTCCTGAGCTAGACCAGGCCAAAGCCAGGAGCCAGGAACTTGGCTCACATCCCCCACTTGGGTGGCAGGAGCGTGAGCAGGCAGTGCTGCCTCCGAGCACACCTTCAAGCAGGCATAGAGCGGGGAGTCAGGCTTTGTCATTGCATTGGAGGGGCTGTAGGGGCCCCAAGCAGCATTGGAACTGCCGTGCCTGCCCACACATGTAGAACGTGTAAACCGCTCCTGCCTTGAAGTTGATTGGCACGGAATTCTCGGGAGTTCCTTAACTTGACATCACCTGCACGAGTGACGGGCAGACAGAGAAGTCCCTGCAGAAGCTCTCCTGCTGGGATTGGGACTGTGGCCCCCGGGGTGCTGCTCTGGTGTGGCTCTCCACGCAGGAGAGCCTTTGAGTGTGAACTCCATGCTGTTGTGGAACAAGGCTGGGTCTCTGTCGGAAGCTGCAGCAGCTTGGGGAGGAGCTCTTGTCCTGCACGTTTCAAGGAGGCTTCCAGAGGAGGGTTGTAACTGTGTCAGGAGTGGCCCGGGTGGGGGGTGGTCTTGGCCAGCTGTGGCTTTGATGTGTCCTTGGCTGCAGAAGCTGAGCTGGTGGCTGTGGGCTTCTGCTGCCATGCGGGCAGGACGGGGGCGCTCCATCCTGGTTTGGGGCATCGAGTGCAGATGCCGCAACCCATGCTCAGGGCTGTTGGTGTCCGCCGTCTTCTGTCCCTGTGAGTCAGACAGGTTCTGCCTTTTATGTTTGCGCTGACGATTCAGGTGGTGGGACTTGTCATGACAGGGGTGTGTCATTTTGGAAATTTGGTAACGGGACATGTTGATCAGCAGCATCTTTCCAAGATGGTCGTACATAGGAGATTATCAGCAAGCCGTGGAGCGCAGTTGATAGCCTGGCCAGGTTCTGTTAGCAAGGGCGCTGGGTTTTCTGTTGACCCTCTGGTTCTGACGAAGGGCCATGGAGTGACTCGTGGGGCACCGCCCCGACCCTGCCCACACACATAGGTGGCCATTTGCGCTGCTGTTGACCATCTGTGGGTGACCAGGCATGGGCACAGACTGCTGCTGGACTCCCAGCCAGTGCAGGCTGAACGTCGAAATACATAACACATCCCTCGAAGTCCCAGGTAAAGCAGCTACCTGGTAGCCACGCTGAGCCTGACACCCGTGTGTTTGGTTTGACTTCATTCCAAGGAAACTGCCGGAAAGAGTGCGTGTAGTTATTGTTTTTTTCACTTCCGTTTTCTTTTCCAACCAGGTGGAAAGGATTGTCGACAAAAGGAAAAACAAAAAGGGGAAGACGGAGTACCTCGTCCGCTGGAAAGGCTACGACAGCGAGGATGACACATGGGAGCCCGAGCAGCACCTGGTGAACTGCGAGGAGTACATCCACGACTTCAACAGGCGCCACTCGGAGAGGCAGAAGGACGGCACGCTCGCCCGGGCCAGCCGGAGCTCCCCCAGCAATGCCCGGAAGCAGATCTCCAGGTCTACCAACAGCAGCTTCTCCAAGGCCTCTCCTAAGGCCCTGGTGAGCGGCAAGGACCCCGAGGCCAAGAACAGCCAGCTGTTTGCTGCCAGCCAGAAGTTCAGGAAGAACTCGGCCCCGGCACTGGCCGGCCGGAAGAACATGGACCTGGCCAAGTCAGGCATCAAGATCCTTGTGCCTAAGAGCCCCATTAAGAGCAGGACCGCGGTGGACGGCTTTCCGAGTGAGAGCCCCGAGAAGCTGGACCCCGCCGAGCAGGGTCCCGAGGACACAGTGGCGCCGGAGGTGGCGGCAGAGAAGCCTGTCGGAGCCTTCCTGAGCCCTGGTGCGGAGCGAGCCCGCATGGGAAGCAGGCCCCGAATACACTCACTGGTGCCTCAGGTGGCTGGTCCTGTGACCACAGCCATGGCCACGAGCTTAACCATCAATGGGAAAGGTAAGCTTCTGGGCAGACTGCCCTGGGCTGTGGCTAAGGCAGTGCACGCTGCCCAGCAGGCCCCAGAGGGTGTGGGGCCCACTCCAGAAGTCTGTGGGGACCCAGACAAGGCAGCACACACTGCCCAGCAGGCACCAGAGGGTGTGGGGCCCACTCCAGAAGCAGGCCTGGTGCTCGTGTAAGTCTGGGGAGACCTGGACAAGGCAGTGTATGCTGCCCAGCAGGCCCCGGAGGGTGTGGGGCCCACTCCAGAAGCAGGCCTGGTGCTCGTGTAAGTGTGGAGGGACCCGGACAGTGTGGGCAGAGCTGCGAGAGTTTCCGCCTGGTATGGCGTGCTTCTCCCATCAGGCACCTTGCCATCTCTACACCCGTGAAGTGGCTTGCTCTAAAGCAGGTTCCTCCTTAGAAACAGGTTGTGCTGGTGGGATTTTTTCGTGGTTCCTCTGTTGCCAACACTGGCTACCATTGTGCGTCTCCTGTTCTTGGGGAGAAGGGTGCGGCTGCCGTTTCTGCATGCAACCGGTGTGAATAGGCAGCCACTTTCTGCCTCAGCTTCCCTGGAACGGCCTTGTTTGCCTCGTCAGGCTAGCAGGAGCTTGGCTTGTGTCTCTATGCCCATCAGCTGTTCAGGCCTCAGCGCTCCTGGGCTTAGAACTGAGCCACTGCCAACATGGTTGGTATTCTTGGTCCTTGTGGACTCCCTGGGCTGCTCTGACCTCCCCACCTCCCCCCGCAGCACACGGCATGCTGGCTGGCCTCTCTCACATGCCCATGCTGCGCTGGCCACTGGTTTTGATGGAATTTTAGCAGAAAGTTCTCTGCTTCAACCCCCTAACAGTGCCGTCTCACTGTGGGCACTCGTATTTCTCACCTGTCTTTTTACAGCTCTCATATTTTCGCTGTTTCTTGGGTCTGGGTGTGTGTTGCTCGATGGGCGCCCCTCCTTGGGAAGCAGATACACTCCTACATGTGTGTGAGTTGTCCCTGGTCAGCACTGGGCCGCTTGCTCTGTCCTCCTGCCTCGCATGTCCAAATCTCACTCCACCTCTAGCAGGGGCCCTTTTTGTCTCATTGAAGTTCAGAGGGGTAGAACTCAAGTGGTGAGGGATAAGGGAAGAAGAGAGAGAGAGAGAGAGAGAGAGAATGAATCTGTCTGCTGGTTCACTCTCCAGCTGGCCACAGTAGCTGGAATTGGGCAAGTCTGAAGCTGAGAGCCAGGAGCTTCTTCTGGGTCTCCTACATGGATGCAGGGTCCCAAGCCCTTAAGCCATCCTCTGCTGCTGCCCTAGGCACATTAACAGGGACCCGGGTTGGAAGTGGAGCTTCGGCCGGACTTGGACCGGTACCCACATGGGATGCTGGTGCGACAAGCGGAGGCCTAGGCTGCGTGCCACTGCACCATCCACAGAGGATTTTATAAAGCATGCACGGTGCTAGACACCTAGGGAAGTGTAACCCACAGGGTGTTCAGGGGGCGGGTCAAACGCTGCATCTCCCTCCATTCCCAGTGTCGTGCCATCACTGCTGAGGCCTCCAGGAGACAGGGCCCCACACGCTGGGTCGCTGCCTTTGGGCCGGGCACAGCATGGAGGGGTTTGGCAGTTGACTGCCAGACCCAGCCTGCAGCGTGGCTGTGTGTGGTGTGAAAGTTGAGAGTAGTCTTTCACATTTCCTGAGGTTGAAAAGCCTCCAGAGGAGTATTTCCCGCTGTGAAAAATACAAGCAATTGAAATGTTGGCGTCCGCACATGACGTTATCCTGGGACACAGCTGTGGCTGTTGGCTGTCCCGCTGTGACAAGTGACAACAGGCCGGGTTCCTGTGACAGCCACCACGTAGCCCATAATGCCAGGCTCTTTGCACAAGATGCTCTGAGAAGCTGCCGTCCAGGCAAGACTTTTTTTCTGTAAATTTGGCATTATGAGAAAGGCTTCTGGGAGATGGGCCCTCCCCCGACGGATTATCCACAGAAATGTGTGCTTGTGCATTGCGTGGGGCGAGTCGGGACTTTCAGAATCTCCACCCAGCAGGGTTGGAACACCCCGGTCATTTTTGGGTTTTTTTTAAGATTTATTTATTCTTACTGGAAGGGCGGATATACAGAGAGGAGGAGATTCAGAGAGGAAGATCTTTCATCTGATGATTCACTCCTCAAGCAGCCACAACAGCTGGACCTAAGCCAATCCAAAGCCAGGAGCCAGGAGCTCTTCCAGGTCTCCCACACAGATACAGGGTCCCAAGCCATATGGACACTGGTGGCTTGAGTTGGAGCCAAGGGGCACACAGAGGCTGTTGAGTTCTGTACAGAGAAGTGAGTGGGGGTGAGAGCCCCACAGTGTTTCCAGGCCTGCAGGGCAGTGATGACATCACCTCCTGCTGGAGGGAGCTGGTGCCACACTTGCCCCCTGGAAATGCCCTGGCAAAAGCAAAGGCTGCCTCCCAGCAGCCGGGCACCCTGGGTTTGCTCCCCTGCTTTCCCAGACTCTGCATGGCTCCCCTCCAGTGGAATGCAGGCTCCCAGAAAGCATTGTGTCCTTCGGGTGGACGCAGGAAAAGGCCGTCGGGCAGGCTTGTGGTGCTCTGGGGTGATCTGTGGAGGGAGTGACTCCAGCAGGATCCTGGCAGCTGCTTTGCAGCCTCTAGGGCTGGCTCAGCACACCAAGGGAACATGAGAGGGAAGGGCTCCGGCTACTGAGGGGGCAGGAGTGTGCCCAGGAAGCCTGCAATGTGTGCCCGTGTGCCCACCCCACCTCACCCCGGCCCTGGCTGGAGCTTCAGAGAGCTGGGCCCACACGCGTCAGTTTCTAGGGCAGTTGTTTGTTTTTGCTCTCCAGATTAATTTTAGAGCCACTTAAGAACACGGACTTGTTTTCCTAAAACTAATTGAAATGGAGACTCGTGGAGTCTCTTATTCAAAACATGGACCATGTGTGTTTGAGGGCTATTTTTGCCGCCGCCAACAACAGATATCTGAGTATCTGTTATCCCAGAGTGTGAGTGTTCCCGGTGTGCTTGAGCATACACACGATTACTCTATACAGAATAACCGTATGCTTACTTGGTTTTTTGCTGTTTAAGTGTGAGCCAAGGTCTTGGAAGATGAATATACTGCTTCACTCAGAAAATAAGAGAAATGACCTGTATGTATATTTTAATGTAATGGAGACCAAGCGGCCGTCTGCTCACTAGTTCATCCCCCAGAAGCCTGCGACTGTCACAGACCGGGACCCACTTCCGGGAGCCGTCAGCACTGCCTCCCAGGGTGCCGGAGATGGGAGCCGGGGCTGGGGGACAGACCCAGGTCCTCCAGGTAGCGAGTGGGTGACCCTAGCCAGCACCTGACCTGTGTTGCCACATGCCCACTCCTGTACATTGGAACTTTGTGTTGATACCTCTGTCTTCTTGTCTGCTCTTTATTATCAGGTCAGTGCTTTTTTCCTTTGTTATTTATTTATAAAATTTATCTATTAGAGAGAAGTAGAAGAACAGACCCAACAAGACTAGCTGCCATCTACTGGATCACTCCTCCAAATGTCCACAACGGATGGGACTGGGCCCAGGTTGAGCCTGGGGGCTCTCCTGCAGCTTGCCCAGGGCTGAGGCTGGGAGCACTCCTGCAGCTTGCCCAGGACTGAAGCTGAGGCTGGGAGCACTCCTGCAGTTTGCCCAGGGCTGGGAGCTGGGAGCACTCCTGCAGCTTATCCAGGACTGCAGCTGAGGCTGGGAGCACTCCTGCAGCTTGCCCAGGGCCCAGGACTGAGGCTGGGAGCTCTCCTGCAGCTTGCCCAGGGCCCAGGGCTGAGGTTGGGAGCACTCCTGCAGCTTGCCCAGGGCTGAGGCTGGGAGAACTCCTGTAGCTTGCCCAGGGCTGAGGCTGAGGCTGGGAGCACTCCTGCAGCTTGCCCAGGACTAAGGCTGGGAGCACTCCTGCAGCTTGCCCAGGACTAAGGCTGGGAGCACTCCTGCAGCTTGCCCAGGACTGAGGCTGGGAGCTCTGCAGCTTGCCCAGGGCCCAGGGCTGAGGCTGGGAGCACTCCTGCAGCTTGCCCAGGGCCCAGGCTGAGGCTGGGAGCTCTCCTGCAGCTTGCCCAGGACTGAGGCTGAGGCTGGGAGCACTCCTGTAGCTTGCCCAGGGCTGAGGCTGAGGCTGGGAGCACTCCTGCAGCTTGCCCAGGGCTGAGGCTGGGAGCACTCCTGCAGCTTGCCCAGGGCCCAGGCTGAGGCTGGGAGCACTCCTGTAGCTTGCCCAGGGCCCAGTACTGAGGCTGGGAGCATTGTTAAAGCAGAATCACATTGCACTCATCCATTCTCTTGGCACTTTTATGTTTGGGGTTTCTTTGCTGTGTTTGTTGTTGTTGTTGTTTTTAAGCAGAGTAGAGAAGTATTTTCCAGCAACGGGTTCACTCCTGCAGTGTCTGTAAAGGCCGGGGCTAGATCCACGCTGAAGCCAGTGGCCTGGAACTTCATGCAGTCTCTCACGTGAGGCGAGGGCCCAGGGGCCTGAGCCATGTTCCACTGCCTTGCCGGGTACATTGTTAGCAAGGAGCTGGCCAGAAGGGGAGCAGACTGGACTCAAACTGGTGCTCCACTGTGGGATGCCTGTCACAGGTGGAGGTTCGAGCACTGTGCGTGGCACCAGCCCCCAGTCCCAGCTCTTGGCAGGTGTCAACAGTGCTGCTGTAAACGGGCATGCAGGTGGAAGAGGTGTTAAAGGCTTGTAGGAGATGAAGTTGTGTTAGGAAGGTCTGTGTGCGTGTTTGAAGTTTTTGCACCAAAGCTATCTTGACATTCCATTGTGCAGTGAACTTCTCAGAGTACTCACTGATCTGTTTGAGTCTTTGCCTTCAAGTTCTTTTGGAGGGAAAAGCAAACGAGAAACAAGAAGTAGAATTGCTGAGTCATAGGTTCTAGGGTGATGTTGTTCTTAAATTCTTTTTTTTTAACTACCATTTTTTAATTAATTACTTATTTTTGATGATAGTTGGTTAGAGTTCAAAGGGT